TTCGTAAAAATTTTGTCCAAGAATGGGCTAGATTTCGAATTCACAACGAAGGTAGAATACGTGGGTTAACGACGGCTGCCTTATTTTCTAGAGTGGCCAAGTTCTCGAGTCGAAAGACACCCTCTTCCACCAATCATTATCAAAGGTGAGGCAAGATATTCGTTTTTAAATTATTTAAATATTTTTAACCGAAGACAATGTTGAAATGACCGCTTCATTTTCTTCTAGGTTGTGTAAAAATTTCATAACTTAGTCAATTACCAGTATCACTAGAACAAAATATGTATTAATTATTAGTATGGAGTAGGGATGTTGCGAATGTGGAATTTCAGACATCCACGGATGCGAATGCGGATGCGAATATCTAACAGCTAACATCCGCGGATGCGGATGCTAATGCGGATATCAGGTATTTTTAGGAAACAATTAGAATCTAGCATAATGGCGAGATCGTTGTTTAAACAGCGCTTACAAGCCAAACCAGATTGGTCATATTTTTTTATAGCTTTTTAAAAAGAATTCTTCATTCTCATTCCTTTGATTGTTTCAGAATTTTTCAATTTTAGTTTTTGTAATTCATTTTTAGTACTTTANCTTCATTCTCATTCCTTTGATTGTTTCAGAATTTGGGGAATCTGTAACTTTATCAGCGTTTTTCAATTTTAGTTTTTGTAATTCATTTTTAGTACTTTATTCTGCGACTGGTTTGAAAAATGTGTGCTTATAGCGAGCTAAATAGGTGGATATGGAAAATAAATTATTATTCTGCAGGAATGAAAATCTTGATCTATAGCTTTTTTATTATTTGAGCATCGATTCTCTTTATAGCCGGACGTTGATCATTTCTGCTGGAAATCCCTATTCATCTTATGCTTCATATTCATAGTACTATGACATTGAGAAGCTTACTCTTTGACTTTAAATCGCAAAGAAGGGGCAGTTTTACCACAGAAGTTTTTAGCCAAGGATCCAATGTATATCCCTATGAAAAAAATATTGCCCGGCAAGTAAACAAAATTACGGTTTTTAAATTTTTGCTAAAAATAAATTACCCAAAGAGCGCCATTTGAAATTATTGAAACGAATATATGTAACATCAAAAGCAAATCAAATTTGGTTATGAATTACAGTGCACACTTTCTTCTTTTGTGTCTAGTAGTTTTTTGAATCTTAATAAAGAAAGAAACCAATGCAGGTATTTAAAGCACAGAAAATAAATATCATTAAAAAGGCTATGTTCTCTTTGACGTACGTCAAAGGTCAAGTAGAAATGGGAACCCATCGATAGCTCGGTTATATAGCTTAAGAAATGATAGTGGGATTCATGAAACTTCGCAGTTATTGTAAAGGTCGAATTTGTCGCAAAATTTGCCACCTTGCGACACAGCTGATTACTTTTGTATGGAAGCTTTCTAGCGACAAAATTGCGACATTGCCATAGTATTTGAGGGGCAATCATTGCAAAGTCAATGTCGCGAAACACATGTTTTTTTTATTGTCTTCAAATACTTAGAAAAAGGTATATCAGTTAAATCTGCTTCGAAATATAATTGTAAAAACTTTTATTTTTCTTTAACGCGCGGCATTTTAAACAAATTTTACATTTGCAATCCGGAGTTGCGATAGGTCGCCAAAAATGCCACTTTGCGACGTCTTATGAATCGCACTAATTTGGGCATAAATACAGTTGGTCTCCAAATCTCAAATTAAAAAAAAAATATTGGAATCGATAGAGATGATTGAGCTGAGTATAACGGTATACTTCTTTTTTTGGGCTAGCAACAACAAGAATTATCAAAGGTAAAAATAAGCAATTTTTGAAATCAATATTTCTCAAAAACTAATGAATGGATTTTGAAAATTTTGAAATTTGATTCCCTTTAATTTGGTATACATACGTACTTTATATATATGTTGTATAGGTCTTACAAAAATTGTATTATTGTAAAATAATTATAAAAAAAGGCGTTCTCTGTAAAAGGTATTCAGTGCCTTTTCTTCGCAACACAGAAAGAGAATTCTACCTTATGAGGGTTATAATCCCTAAGTGCGGCCGAAGGCCGCCTACGCAGAAAGGTGTTCTCTGCAAAAGGTGTTTTTTTTATAATTATTTTACATTAACTCATTTTTTGTAAGAACTATACAACATATATATAAAGTACGTACACCAAATTAAAGGGAATCAAATTTTCTATTAAATGAGATCAAAAGTTTCATGATCCATCCAATCGTTTTTAAGAAATCTTGATTTCGAAAATTGCTTATTTTGAACTTTAACCTTTGATAATTTTTGTTGTTGTTGTTTGCCCAAAAAAAAGTATAGTTATACTCAGCTCAATCATCTCTATCGATTCCACTATTTATTTTTTTTTTTGAGATTTGGAGCCCAACTGCATTTGTTCCCTAATTTGTTTAAAGACATTTTTATCAAAGTTGATAAATATGACATTTGATCACTTTTGTTACACAAATACTCCCACGACAGGCAAAAATATTGGCTACAATATTCGCAACAACCCTGGTATGTAGTATACATATCGTCGCCCGTGTGCCATAAACATGAATGTTTAGAAATGAAAATTTTGGGAAAACCAGTTTGAAAGTTTTTTCTTAAAAAATTTACTTTTTGATGCAACTTTGTTTTACAACCCACAACGCATCACCTGTTTAAATATTACGGCTTAAGTCCCAATAGCTACCCCTAAAATTGACTGTAAATTTTATCGTATGTGACAATGATAATTTTTCTTGTGGGTGAAATTATCATATGTGCTAAGAAATTAGACCTTTCTACAAAAATCTTGCGTTTAGTTATATTTCTAAATTATCTCAGCAAATCTAAACTTTGGCATTGATGGTGCTAGCCAAAGCAGAGAAACAAACAAGAAATACTTTCCTGTAAAATTTAGTTTTTCTAACATACGATAATTTTGCGCAAAGGGGTCGATATGTGCTTTCCGTGTACGCATAGTATTCTGGGTTTTAGTATAACATAGAACATCCAAAGGTTTACCAAGTCAACCTAATAACTCAAAGGTGATAAATTTGCACATTCATGCTTCTGGCATGAGGGTGACGATATGTGAATTTAAAACTTTAAAGGAGTTTTTCTCGGGGTTTCGGTTTTTTGAGTTATAGCAGTATTGAAGTAAATGAGCTTTATGTTTGTTTAAGGGACTTACGCCCTTAAAATGCAACTAGTCCTGAGCGAACGCAGCAACCCCCTTTTTTCGAACTAACTGGAAGAGGTTGCCACAGCGAACTGGCTATAAATATGAGTGCATTTTTCCATATTCCTTCTCTTCTGTTTCATACCAACCATCAACTGAGCAGCGGTCAGCATATCAACTCATCGGCTGGATCAAATAATCACCTACATCTTTCATCATATCAAAATTACCAACATACATAAGTATAAAAAATTGAATTCGCAATTACCTTCCATATTTATAGACGTTCATTGATTTGTGTATCATTTGCTTAATATTCATTTATTCACATATGTATGTACATATTTATATCCCATTGAATTTATATACATATATACATACATTTATACTCATTTAATCGTATGTCCTACTTGTACGCAACTGCACTATGTCCTACTGCGTATGTCCTACTTGTACGCAACTGCACCCCTTCATGTTAATAAATTGAAATATTTGTATTGGAACTCTACAACCTCCTTCCAATTTCTCCAAACAAACAAAATTGTAAAGAACAAAGGCGAAGTGCAAGCATTCTGCGAAAAATACGCCGCAATCTCAGGCATCAGCAACGGTGCGAGCAGCACAAAACGGCGGTGGACATCGCGCTCGTGATGGAAGAAAAAACTAAATATTCAAGCAAAATCAAAGGCGTACAGAGAAAAATTTGCGTGCAAGGCATTGGAGCACTAAATGCAAACATTTCAGGCTAACCCAGATGTGTATAAAGTTAGCGAAACAACATGAAGAAAAAAATGTCGCATATACCTATGAATTTGCCGTTTTTTTGCCGTTAATTAGTTGTGGAAAAAATAATTTTGTCGCTCTTGTATTTTTTTAGATATAAGGTGTTTTGCTAACTTTATATAAAGTTAGCGAAGCACCCCTCCAAACTCAAAGACAAAAGACTAGGCTTTATGTCC